TCTCCTGCATTTAGTTTGCAAACAATTTAGCTGCAAAATAAGAATGAATGAATAGCACAAAATAGCGCTTATAAGGACAACAGATTGCACCATTTTGTATTACAAGTGTTTTGTGGATAGCTAAAGGGCTGCATTGTTTGCACTCTATTATACAGATTTATCAAGAAATTAAAAGGAATTTAATGCTAATTTTCCCATCTTTGAGACATAATAATAATTAGTGAACGCATTCTGGGAATGTCAAAAGTGAAGTGACTTGGATTAGTAGCAAAAGCTAAACATGTGGCAAACGCAATAGAAAAAACCCCATAGTCGCTACCATTGTTCTGTTGCTGAACGGGTACAAAATCTAGACTGATCAAATTTCCTCCCAGGAGGTCATTGGTCTGTTCCTCTACTTCTTGACTAATTACATCATGATATAAACTATCATAAAAGTGAACATATCCAGATTGACATCCCAGTGAGCTAACACAGACCCAGTGATTGCTTCCAGTGTGTAGAATCTGTATAAATTCACTAGACACTACATCAAAGTTTCTGACTCTTCCAAGAATTGGCTTTTGTAAGCCCTCAATTGCTGGGTTAACTTCCTTTATCAGGACTTGAGCATATTGGATAATGTCACCAGTAAGCCATCCGGCAGGATCACTAATGATGTCATAATCTGTGTTGCTTAATTTAGCCAGAATAGCATAATTGTAAACAGAACCAGAACTAGTTGACACTTGCATAATTTTTATTTCATCCTCACTATCATCATCATCTGATAAGTCTGATGCTGCAGGCGATTTAGGAGTTGTAGAAGTAGAAGTGGTAGGTTTATCACGAGGCATTGTTTTGACCTTTTTTCCTCGGCATGTATTACATAGCCAGGTTGTCTTGGAATTGTTGGGCATTCTTTCAAATCGCAAGCATTTCACATGGAAAAAATTTCCACTGCTGCAGTCCACATTGTGGCACTCAATGAGTCTATCGGTCATGGCTGCTTTTCCATTACAGGCACAAATTGTAGTATTTAACATAGCAGCTTGATTTACTTGAGATGGTGCAACTTTGCCCGTTGCCCCTTTTTTAATTGTGGTAGTTTACAGCAGTGAGGGCAGTACCATTGCTTTGGCATTATCACATTATCTAAGGAGAGGCATTTAGTGTGGAATTGCCCATATGGACAGTTAACATTGGAACAGGATACAATGTCATCATTGGGCTGTCCTCTACAGAAACATATGGCATAATTTCTAGAATTGGGGTGGTTTTTCTGTCATTTCGTCTATGGCATTTGGAGTTTTTTTTCCGCCATTTCGTCTTTAGGCATTTGGGGTTAATTTTCCGCCGTCCCGACTTTAGGATTTGAGTTCTTCCGCCATTCCATCATTTCGTCATTCCGCCGTTCCGGCATTTAGGGTCACCTTATGTTTTTTTAATTTCATTATACCTGTGGCTCGGGCGGTTTTCAATTAATATGGCGGAATCAAGTAAGAACCGCCTTCCTTTGGGCCACGACGAGGACTTTGTGGAAGCCGTTGACGAAGATTTTCAGTGCCTGATATGTCATCTGGCGCTATAGGAACCAGTTCAAACGAGATGTGGCCACATATATTGCAAAGGATGTCTAGACGAGCATTTTAGAACGTATGACCTAAAGATAAACACCATAAGGAAGTGATCCTCCCACACTGGTGCATTTAATCTTATCGTGCTATATTTATCAGTGAAACGTCTTCGGTAAGTTCATATGTTCGTAGACAATTTGGTTGCGGTGGTAATGGGGACCATGTTAATTTACTGAATGATGCAATTTCGATGCACTCGCCGGATTGGTTTCAATCTGTTCATAAAATTTGTTCTTCGCTTTCACATTTGCTTTGCACTTATGCATTTTAATGAATATTTACCACTACGAGCGTCTTCAGAAGCATCTTCCGCACATATTTCAATATTTTGGGAATAAAGAAAGTGGAAGTTAAATGATTTGATAAAATTTCGTCTTCATTGTTATCTCTGCTGTATGTAAATGATTTGCATTTTTAAATGTTCCAGTGTTCTGGATTTCCGCCTACTTTCAGATGGCATCAATATTTTTGTCACAAGCCCCAAATTTGCCTTTCCTTTAATCTGTATTGAATGAAGAACGGCCAAAACGGTAGATAAACCAGAGTGTCTCTAAAACTAATATTGACTTTAAAAATTAAGCTTTGTTATTTCCATCCTTCTAAATAGAGAAACTTTGGTCAATGAGTGCACATTCCGGCCTTTAGTTCTCACTGTTGTAAGGTTTAACTAAATTTATACACACTTCAATTATCTTCACTGCCCTTGTTACATATCAATACCACAATAATTCACTCCCTTGGGCTTTTGATAACTAATGTTTTCATGGAATTCATTAACACATAACTACCATTCTAGACTATAATCAAAATGGAGATATTGTTACGTGCACGAATGACCAACAAATGTCCGCTAAGAAAGCATATATGAAAATAAACTCCCGAGTACGATATATGGCACGCAACAAAAGTGTAACAACAAGCAGTTACCCATTTTAACTATTATTTAATTAGTTTTACATTGTCTAATTTACTTAGGTTAACGATTAAGTTAAGCAGTTCATAAAGCAGGCTTACAATCCTTTATGCCGTGTAATTGTTCGTCGTCTTGATCAACTTCCAATTCCAACATCCGCCGACTGAAGACCACAGCGCTTGGCTTTCTTGATTTATCGCATTCTTTCCTTGTACACAAACTCTTCCGGAGGACTCCATAGTAAACTCTGTATTCTCTATCTTCTTCCTCTCTCGACTATCGTCTTTTTCATCTCTTTCTTCTCTCCGGATATCGCAAGGTCAAAAGGTCATAGCCTCGTCATATCATAGCTTCCAAAAGTTCAGTCAGCAAGCCACGAGGGTAAGCCCTCGGGCAAATCTCTTTTGTACTTCTCACAAGCCAGCTTTTATACATTTACTTTAGTTATCTAGAATGTTCTATTACTATTTATAGCGTATTACAAGTTGTACTATTTTTGGAAACTGCTGAGTCACATGAAAGAAGTTTCTGGAATATTACAGATTATAGATAATTCTAGAAAAGTCTGGGATTGCGTGACAGATTCAGTAAAAATAATTCGATCCTCGTAACACAT